TTTTCCTGAGGAGCTGTTTTGTTTGGCCTGTGTGGTTCTAAAAATAAAGTTCCTTTCTTTTGACAAGTGGCTCCTGAATTGTGCCCAGCCAGACTGCGGCAAATAGTTTAAAATCTTTTCTGAACAATAAGAGCTAAGTCCACACCATGTAACATATGTATTTAAAAAACAAGTAAGGCAAAATAATACCAGGTCTAAAAAACTCTGTTCCAAGATACAGGTGTGATCACTTTTACAACTCACTTTATGAGATTGGTCATTCCCTGATACCCCAAGAAAATAGATGAGAAAAGTTTAGGTTAGTATTATTTGCAAACACAGATGCAAAAATCCTCAAAATATATTAGCAAATTGAATCCAGTTATGTGTAAAATTTAATAAAAAGTGGGGTTTATCTAAGGAATAAAACATGGACTAATTCAACTTTTGAAAATCAATGTGATTCATATTAACAATTAAGAAAAACATGATGGCCACAGAAAAACCACTTAAGAAAATTCCACACACATTCCGAAAACAACTCAAAAAAGGTATCTTTGTTACTTAACAGACATAATCAAGAAAACCTACAGCTAATACGATGACCCATAACAGTATCAATTGACCACTTTTCCTCTATGATGGCAAATAAAAAAGAGGCTGCTAAATTTCAGCATTCTTTTAATTGAAATCACAAACATTAACAACAAAATTGTTGAAAGTCCTCTCACATGCAGGCAAATCGCTGGCAGTCACGTGAGCACCACAGCAACCCTATAGCTGTTGTTCCTGTGGTCACATGCCACGCGATGATCTCGCGATACTCAGCCCTCTGTATCACAGAACGATGAGAAGGCCCCACCCCTGTGCGTCAGGTGGTTCCCCCACCCACGTGGCCCCCAAAAGGTCAAGTACCAGGAACTTCCCTTTAAGTGGGCTGCCCGGATCTTGGCTTACTGACGAGTGGAGTCGGAATTACAAGCCACAGGTCCTTCGAACTGCCATCAGTGGCGTGTTCTGGCTGAAGTTTAATTAGAATCTGTCACAAATCCCAACCGGTCCACAAACTTTGATATCCTGTCACGGTGGACAGTTTTCCTGGTAGGAGGAACATTAGCTGGGAGGAGAATTTCACTCTGGGTTTGGGCTTTGAAGGGTAGTCGAGTGGATGCCACAAGTGGGCGTCGTGAAGAGAGGGGTTGGGAAGCGGTAGGGAGAGGACTTTGCGATTGTGGCTAAACTTCTGTACAGTTCTGATTATGGCGCGTGCACGTGTGTGTGTGTGTGTGTGTGTGTGTGTGTGTGTGCGCGCGCGCGCGTGTGTGCCCGCGCACGCGTCCTCCCCTGATTGTGGACTCCTGGGAACTGTTGGGGGTAGGAAGAGAGGTAGAGGCAGGCAAAGCGCCAGCCTGGGGACTGGTAGCAGGGCAGAGTCAGCGGGGTTCATGGATTTGTCGGTCACAACTCAAGGGCGGGGCTCTCGAAGCCCAATGGGACCATGCTCCCTTCCTCAGACCCTCGCTACAACCCGATCTTGGCCCGTGATCACGCCTCTAGATTTGCTATCTATACCTCGCGTTCCCCTCCTCTGCCCCTGTGTATCCATGGATACCAGAGCCCTCCTAGATGCCAGGTCTTACAGTTGATGATTCCAGAACTAATCGTAATTTCCATCTCATAGTTGATTGTGTAAAGATTCTTTTTGTTCCTTGGACTAAGTTTCCCAGGAGATGTTTGAAACATATGCTCAGGAAATAAGTAATTTTAGGAGGGAGGCAGGGGGCGGAGAACGGGGTCAGTGGGGGAGAGGGTGAAATTTCTAAAAGGCTTTAATATTTCACTAAACTGCCAAGTTAACCATGAGGAGAAGATTCGGGGTTTACTTCCTGCAATGAATTTGAAGTCCAGCCATTTTTAAGAGCCCACTTGGGAGGGGGTTAATAAGCCTTTTCTGCTTCAGGTCTCTAAATAGCTTAAAGTAATAGAGCCATGTTACTCTGGTGAATTTCACCCTGGTTTTCTAAGCATTGCTTCTTAGACTCCTTCCCCAAAACTCCCTCCTTTCCTTCAGGTGGAAAATTATGGTGAATAGATTTAAGAAAAATATTAAGTAAAACCATAAGCAATACATTTGATACATCAGCAATGTAGTGTTGGATTAAATTGAACAATAACAACATTCTGCTTACATTTAAGCAGAATGGGGCTTTTAAAAATAATGCCTGACAAATGGTTAAAGAACGTTGTCATTTGTGATGTATTGTAACAGATAGCTTAAATAATCTATTTTTCTCTCATTTCTGCATTTTCAAGTTGGTTCTGCAAAACACTAGGGCTGAAGGACAACAACAAAAATGTGCTCTACACTAAAGAAGTATGGGACATACAGAAATGAAGGTAAACAGATTTCCATACTGTAGAGTATATATTTATACACACATATATAAATGTATATAAATATAAATATTTTAGATACTTCACTTGTATGTACCATGAATCTCTGAAAGAGAGAGAGTTTCCCTACTTTCTATAGGAATGGAACCTTTTTCTACAGAGCTTTTGAGAGAGGTGGTACTTCAAAAAATATTTGGGAATCTCTGTTCAGACTAAATCTTGTAACATTTAAAAAATCTTCTGCTTTTGTTTGCTAAAAAAATGGGATGAATGTTTATAATAATTTTAAACTTTTCTCCTTCAGAAATTACTCATTGCTCATAATTCAACTTATGTCATTATTTGGAGCATCTCCTGCATGAAACTTTTCACTTACTTCTTCTTCTGAGGTAGCCCCAATATGCATGCTTCTGATAAAATTGTGGCAAAAAGTAACAGAACTAATGAAAGTCTTTTAAGAAGTAGTATCTGTCATAGCAAATGAGTGTCCAATTTTTTTTTCTGGTACTGGCAATTGAACCCAGGGGTGCTTAACCAGGAAACCACATACACAGGCCTTTTTAATTATTATTATTTTTTTAAAATTTTGACTCAGGGTCTCACTAAATTGCTGAGGCTGGTTGTCAATTTGTGATCCTCCTGCTTCAGCCTCCTAAGCCACTGGGAAGTGTCCCACTCTTGAAGTCAGGATGTATCATACCTTCAGAGTGAACAAGCATAGTACCTCTCATTTGATACAAATCATCTACACATTTTCATAACATTTTTTATTATTAAATAACTTCAGCTGTCATTACTTTGAGTCCCTATTATATAGCACACTCTGGGATAACATCATGTAATTTATTTCATTTCTCTGTCAGGAAAATCCTGAGAGGGTGTTATTTTCTTGAGAGGTGAGCTATAACAGTGAGGAAGGGCTGTATTATGCTGTGTTACTAAGCATCTGAAAACTTCAGTGACCTATTCACTCCTATTACATAGCCACGGCAGGTGTGTGTCCTTCAAGGGATGGTGCATGTTGGGGCCTGAGTGATTCTTATTGGAATGTCTCAGAGGCACAATGAAATGGATGGAGCAGCCACCATCTCAAGAGTGGTCTGTCATTGTGCAGAGTGGAGGAGAACCCAGAGGGCCTCACACTAGTAAGCAGATGTTCTGATGTAGAAATAGCACACATTGCTCACAAGGGCTTGGCCAGAGCTAGTCACGCAGATAGCCTTGCTTAAATGAGGGCAGTCAGGAAATGCAGCCCTACCAGGTGAGGACCTGAAAGAGAGGGGCATGAAAACACTTGGCAAACAGCAGCACTAACTGCCACATAGAGGATTGGAAGCCAACAGAGGTTCAAGATTTGACTAAAAGCATGAAAGCCATAAGGGACAGAGCATGGATTTGAATGCAGACAGGTACAATTTCAAAGTGCTCCTCTTCTCTACCCCGTTTGACACCATACCCTCTTTGCTAAATAAAGTTCAGGTATATTTATAATAAAAGTTCCTTTATTCAGTGACAGAGTCTCCCCTTCCTTAATCATCTTATTACCTAACAATTGCGTTGAATAGGTGTAATGGCATGAGTCAAAAACAACAAAATTAGCCAGGCGTGGTGGGGCATGCCTGTAATCCCAGTGGCTCAGGAGGCTGAGATAGGAGGATTGTGAGTTCAAAGCCAGCCTCAGCAACAGCGAGGCACTAAGCAACACGGTAAGATCTTGTCTCTAAATAAAATACAAAATAGGGCTACAGATGTGGCTCAGTAGTTGAGTACCCCTGAGTTCAATCCTGGGTACCAAAAAAAAAAAAAAAAAAAACATTGACAAGCCACAGGCTCTTTCAAAACAATTCTGTGTATTGGATATTTGAATATTTGTTGCATTCAGTTATAAAATTTATAGAAAATATAACATGTGCTAGACAAAAACCTTGTTACTTGATCTTTTACCTAACAAAATTTAACATCATGTCTTTCCACTTGGTCATAAAAAAATAAAGAAAAATAACAAACATGACAGCAGAAAATTAAAGAAAAAACACTGATATCCAAGGTGATAAAGTTGAACTAAAATGATAGAAGTCAAGAGTTTTAGAAGACTGGGTAATTATAAAGCTATGGGCACACAGGTGAGGAACATTAGTGAGAAGATACAGAAGAGCCACTCTTGTAATGCAGAAGCTGTCATGCTAGTTGTCACAGAAAAGACGATAAAGGCAAGATAATATGAAAAAGATAGGATGATTATTTGAAATTTCAGATTAAAAAGAGATACTGTGGGGGAATATACTACTTTCCAAAGTGAAGAAATAGAAAAATCTTAATATTATTAAAAGCATTCTTTATAAGGAAAACATGTAAAAGCAGAATTAATACCCAGTATCAATTAATTAATACGTACTATGCCAAAAAAAAAAAAACAGCTGCAAATAGATTCCAACAAAAGCTAAACTAGATATTGCAACATGGCAGAGTTGGACTTACTCCCAAGCACATGACATTTGTTTAGCCTTTGTCGAGGTCCATAATGTAAATTAATGCAATTAAAGCAATGCCTGAAGAAAGGAAGAAAGAGTGGATGATGGTCACAAAAAGATCCTGTGAAAATAATATGCAGTAAATTAACCAACTAGGATTAAACCACAATGATGACAATAATTTTTCACATATCACAAAGAGAACATTATTTCTATAAAATGACCACTGGTATTTAAAGTAATAAACTATATTCTGGACCACACTTACGAGTGAAATGTTAGAAGCATTCCCTTTCACAATTGGGAGAAGCAAAGATGGATCCTATGGAGACTTCTCTTCAACATAGTAGTGAACCTGGTGCAGTCAGCTGCTACACATTCTACGAAGCACTGCAAAGAGATCTATTGCAAACTTGCATTCAAACATATATATATATATATATA